TTTAGGGTTTGGATTTCAGAATTTTCGGGTGTAGGGGTTCAGGGTGCAGGGTTCAAACAAAGTCTAGGTTTACGTTTCGTAAAGGTTTAGCATTTCGGGTTCAGAGTTCACAAGGGTTGAGGGTTTCGGGTTCAAGGTTCGCATATGGTCAGGGGTCAGGGTTTAGGTTCATGAGGGTTTACGGTGCAGTGCAGGGTTCAGAAATAGAAAGGTTTAGGGTTTTTAGGCGCTTGTGGTGAGAACCTTCCCTGTCGCCAATCCTGATTGTGAATACAGAGCTACGACGCATGCCTGCCCTTGTTGTTCGAACCGGCCTTGGTCAAAGCATCGTTTCCCATTAGTACAAGGTACATTGGCTACTGGCAGATTGGCTGTACTCCAGGTGTGGTTGCTGTCGCTGTGACTGTGCTGGGGCGCTGACAAAAGGCACTCAGTCCAGTCGCACAACTAAACCCTAAACCCTAAATCAACCGTAGAGAGCCACTCAAAGGTGAAAGGTTTGCAGGGCTTATTCTCATACAAACCAACCCGACAGCTGCAGACCAATGATGCAAACCTATAGGTCTTTATGGGGGAATTGGGACGGTCTCGGACGCGTCCTCGCCAAAACCCGAAGCCCCATCCGCTTAGTCCTATAACCCCACACCCTCAACCCTCGAGCTTACCCTATAAAAGCCGATGCAGCTGTAAAGTGCCATAAAGCCCTATCGAAACTCTATGAGGCCCTATAAAAGCATATTCGAACCTATCAAAACTTATTGAAAAACACGGGTACCGGTCAAGTCCTAAACCCTCAACCCTAAACCCTAACACCCTAAAGCCCTAAAGTCCTAAGCCCTAAAGCCTTAAAGCCCGAAGGCCTAAACCCTAAACCCTAAACCCTAAACTCCACACTTACACTTTAAAAAAGCCCTAAACTCCCTAAGCCCCCAAACTCCCCACGCCCCCACACCATCAAGCCAAGGTCTTCGAGCGAGCCCTGACGACTTCGAATGTCGAGGCGAAGCTTCCTTCAAAGGGGATCCTGCTTAAGGGTTCCTGTAACAGTTCTTGGTTTAGGGTTTAGGGGTTTGGGTTTAGGGTTTAGGGTGCCTGTAACGGTTCTTTTTCAGGCTTCCTCTAAGGGTTCCTCAAAGGGGTTCTAGAATCTAGAAGGGTTCTATAACAGTCTCTATGATGGTTCTCTTATGGGTTCCTATCATTGTTTCTATGAGGGGGGGGACCTCGGGTTCTGGCTGCAGGGGCTGAGGGTGGTAGGATTCTTGCTGGCTTTCGTCCTGTCGGGCCAGGGTTTTACGATGCACTGTACCGGATTGTGTAAAGGGGCTTTTTGTCAATGAACGAGTACCTTCCTGGATTCTTGCGGAGTCCTAACAACAAGCCCCGAACCCTAAGCCCTCAACTCTACTGTTTGGATAGAAATTCTGGGCTGGGTGCAAGGCTCTCATCTTCACCTCCCATTTCAGAAGATCGTTGGGTTTCGAGCCCCTTTGAAAAAGGATGCTTTAGGATTTTTGGTTTGGGGTTTCGGGCGTGTGGCTTCGGATTTTGGGTTCATGGTTTCAACATGGAGGTGTGTAATGTGATCGACAACCTACAGATGTTTTACTGGTAGGCTCATGTTGCAGATCATACCCGGTTTGTTTGAAGACTACCTGAACCCTAACCTTAAACCCTAAACCCTAAAAAAGCCCGAAGCCCTATAACCCGTAAACTTGAAACTAAAAACCTCAAAGCCCTAAGCCGAAACCCGTAGGCCCTAAACTCTAGTCCCTAAGCCGCGCCCTGACCTGCCCAAAGGGTCCCGAGTACCAATATAATTAGTAGAATGTAGGGTTTTGATAATGAGAATCAGTATTATGATGTGGGAAAGTATCCCCAACAATGCCTAGGACCCTTTGGGTTCTGGATCCCAACTCTGCAGGATGTCTTGGACCGCTTGGGCGTCATCCAGCACTTCTCAACTCCACCTTCGGGCAAGGGTCCGCAAGGCGAGCTGGTTTAGGGTTTTTGGGGTTCAGAGTTTGGGCTTAGGGTTCAGGGTTTAGGGTTTAGGGCTTCGGGCTTAGGGGTTTAGGGTTTCGGGTTTAGGGTTTCGGTTTAGGGTTTAGGGTGTCCTGACTGAAGGTACTTCTTTTGGTGCGTTTGCGGCCACACTCTTCGTGTTTTCCACGTCTCAATTTATCCAGAAGCGTGCCCTCCAGCTTAAAAGCCTTCAAGCCTCAAACCCTGAATTCCTAAGCCCTGAGCCCCCAAGTTCTAGTTGTTCCAAGGCTTCCACGTGGATCTTCACGTCCACGAGGCGGAGCCGAGAAAGGCTTTAGGAGTGTGCGGATGAATCTAATAGCCAAAACCCGTACTTGAGTTTAGATTCGGTGACAGGGACTGCTGCCTTGATACCTAGTGAACTTAAGCACCTAGGTACCACCATCATACAACCTATGCCCGCTATGCTACTGATGAGTTTGTGACGGATATGACTGTAATCACGATCACGCGAGAGACGGACGACGACCACGGCGATGACGACGACGATGACCAGAGACCGCGACCACTTCGGACTACTGCTAATGCGGGTGCTGCTTCTCTGCTCCTCCCCTTCGTCCACCTTCTGCTGCTGCTATGACGAAATATTGACAGCAATAAGAGTCACTCTCGTGGTCGTACAAGCAAGAATGCCAACATTAGCCGTAGCCGCATCTATTTAGACAAGTTTTCACGAAGCCCCCCAAACATTGGCAGGTTCAGTCTTCGGACGTCTGGGTGCGCGCCGGAACCACAGCTCTGCCCAGCCCGACTTTCGGTGCTCTGTTTATCAGACCATGGAGTCTGAAGCCTGAAAGCCCTAAGGGTTTAGGGTTTAGGGTTTAGGGTTTCCACACACCAAAAGCCCCAAACCCGAAACCCTCATCATGATGGACACTCGGAAAGCGAAGCAATCATCTCCAAGACAAGGCCAAGCTGAATCTGCAAGGGATGTACGGCATCCTCACACAGGCTCTCGACTTAGCGTCTCGGGGTGCATGTGCTTTTACATACAGGGGTGCGATATTTTTGCAGGGGGGTTAAGGCCGTCACCTTAGGAGTGAAGCACCGGAATCCGGTCAGAGTTGGGAACTTCGGCTTAAGAGGTGCCTGCAAGGTTGCTAGGAGCCCCGACCAGTACGACTGAGTGTTTACTCCTTACTTTACGAACCTGAAAAGAATGATTGCGCGCGACCCCGAAACCCCAAGCGATCGTAGTCAGTGCCTTGAGCCAACCCATGCCTGAAGATGCCCCCCGAGCCCCAAAAGCCAGAAAACTCAACCCTAAACCCTAAACCCTAAACCCTAAACCCTAAACCCTAAAACACCAAACCCAAAGTCCGAAGCCCCAAGCACCACCTGAACCCCACAAGCCCCACAAACCCCGAACACCCTAAACTGAGATGCAGGTCCCCAACATTAGTTGGCACGACTTTGAGACACAGGTTAGACCGAACTCCACTGACGAGCCTTAGACCTTTCATTCAGAGTTTTTGGGGCTTAGAGGGATCAAGGCTTCAAAGGTGTTGTGAGGTTGCAGGGTGCGTTTTGGTTTGTTTTTTAGGGTCTGATTCCTGTAAGGTTGGGAGTCTAGGTTAGCTTTTGTGTTCAAGTTTCGGGTTTCGGTTCAGGATTTTGCTTGTTTCGAGTTCTTTGTAGACCTGGGCCTCAGAGATCTCTGCGGAATGGTTTGTCCGATGTAGTTGAAAGCACACCGAGAACCCAGATCCTAAACCCCTAAGCCCTAAGCCCTACACCCTGAAGCCCTAAGCCCTAGAACCCCCGCACCTTGAAGCCCTGAAACCTAAATGTCACACTAAACCCCTAAGCAATAGACCCGAAACATCGTGTTCGAGGAAACTTAGGGTGTTCGTTTCGGATCCTTTGTGAGGGGGGCCGCACTATTTTGGGGACCTAGCAGGTACCCTAATTTGCAGCAGCAAAAAAGGACATGCCGGATGACTCCAAACACTGAGCCCTAAACGCTTAAACCAGGCCTTGAAGACATACCCGTAGAGGGTTTAGGGTTTACCTGGACCCTGAATGACCTATACCTTTTTACGGACTTACATACAAAGGACATCATAATTGGGGGCCCAGGTAGGCTTACCAGCCAAAAAACCCCTGAACCCTAAACCCTAAACCCTAAAACCCCCCCCCCGGGCCCCCAACCTCAGGAATGCATTGTGATCGTCTCGGCGACCATCTTGGAGAATGTACAAAGAGTGATGCGACGGTAGCCTCGGGTTTCCAGCGTACTTTTGGGCTTCGGGAGTAAGCTTTATGTAAGGCTGGGAATACTCATCTGCAAGCTCGCGATTCAGAATTTCAATTTAACCTACCAAGAGATACATGCCAGTGCCACAGCAGCGGAGCGCGCTGCTTCTGACAGAACGCACTTGCATCCATACGTTTCACCATCTGCACGCGACGATCAGTAGAGGAAACGGGTTCGTTCCGGGAAGGGCCGTGATCGTTTTGATTTGTCAGTGTTTCTTGCTGCTGTCTGAGTGTGGCCATGGAGTTTGCTATCATAAGGTGCTTGCCGTCATCTCGATCCTCGTTCTTACTGAGATCAGCCATTCCTCATGAGTTTGTGTTGTTTCTGCATGACGTATAATCCACCCTGCTGGATCCCTCGAGCTGTGTTTTGCCATCGGACTACAGGTAGCTAATATGTACAGCAGCTAAGAGGTAGTCAGTCACTCCCAGGGACCTGCAGTTTGACTGTTTAAGTTTAGGCGCGTGTACATATATTACGCATGTATACAAACATACATTACATACATACGTATATACGTACATGAATACATACACACGCACACACACCTACAGTTATGTGTGTGTGCACATCTACATGTATGTATGTATGTATATGTATATATATATATATTACACATATACATAACGTCTTTAAGACTTTACACATGTACATAGAGGCCTCTTTTGTCGCAGCCCTGAAAGCTCCGATGCAGGCGCTCCTGGCGGAAGCGGGATCTGAGGAGAGCCAGAGCCAAGATGGGTTCTGGGAGCTACCTAGGCCTTAGGAGTTGAGAGTTTAGGATTTAGGGCTTCAGGGCTTTAGGGTTTAGGGCTTTGGGCTTTAGGTCTTTAGGGCTTTAGGGCTTTAGGGCTTTAGGGCTTTAGGGCTTTAGGGCTTCATGGTGTTAAAGGGTTTTAGAGCTCCGAATTTTGTCACTGCAGTTGGAGAACGTTGCACACGGTCTTAGGAGGGCCTTCTGCCTGAAGTCACAAGCAGAGACCCAGAAGCTGAGGATTCTTGATCCAAACGCAGGGATCCTTTGAACATAGCGGTTAGGCTTGCGGAAGCTGAAATATCTGCTTCCCCAGTGCACAAGCACTGAAAGGTAGTGCCAGGACAGGAATTCCGACAGACATGGACTATCGGATTTAGTTGGTTCTCCTCAGCATGAGGGCGATAGTGAGTTGTAGTTTCGGATTTGGGCAAAACCTGCGCAGGGAGAGACTTGTGCCATTCCTTGTCCTGGCAGTCAATGCAGAGTATTCAGAGCCATTTCTGTTGCTTTCGGAGCGCACCGTTACGTCACGAACAGAGAGCCTTTCTGAAGCCTGCAATGCTTCGTTTAGGGTTTCGGGTTTACGGTTTCAGGTGTAGGGTTTAGGGTAGGTCTCAGCATTTAGGGTTTAGGGCACTCCGACATGTGCTTCTTTTTATCCTCAAGCCTCAGCCCTCAGACGTTAAGCCATCGGATCCGGGTCTTTCCGGAAATTTCGGCGCCCTTTACCAGATCTGGCTCTGGTCGGGTGCCTGGCACTTCTCGCCGCTGGAGCTCTAATGTTGGATGGTGAAACTGGGCGTACGCACTTCAATGTGTGATTTCAAAAAGGTGTCAAAAAGTCGAGCTTGTGGAGGGATAGACATGGCACCACTATGAGAGGAACTTCCTTGAACTTGGTTCTGTCCCGTTCCGGCATATGGCTAGCAGGCTTTTGTCCCGTGATAGCCTCACAAGCTTGATTTCCAAGGGTGTGGACATGACATAATATAGAAGCCTGAGTCCTTGCCGATACTATTCATTCGGTTCCGATTCGTCCTATGCACAATCTTTAACTGTGTATTTCATCCCTGAAGGCTCCTATAGTCCAGGCATCAAGGACCGAGAACCTTCGCGGCGACGAGAGTGCCTAATTCATGTTTCTGGCTGAAGACGTGCGGGGAAAGGACAAAGAGCTCTCAGGGCCTTCGTGCCCTGAGGTTGAGGGCAACGGGACTCCTCGGTTTCCGTTAATGGGTACTTCCAGGGATCGAAAAGGAGTCTAAGACCATACAGTCACAGAAGCAGCAGCAAAGGCTACGAAAGCAAGCGCAGCAACAGCAACATCAGCAATACTACCAAGAAGAGGTTCGTCCTAAACCCCAATCCCAAGCGGGCTAAGGCTTGGGATCTCGGATTCGACAAAACCCAAAGACTGAAGTTAACATCGGATAACATAGCCGCTCGTTTAGGATGCGCCCTTCACCTTAACCCTTGGCCCAAAAGCTCTGAAGCCTAGACCCGAAAAGCCTCCCTCCTGCCCTCCAAGCCCCTCGAACCACAAGCTAGACCCAAAAGCCCCTATAACTTACAACCCTAATATCGAGGCCTAAGTATACCTATACTATTTTGGGTGTTCCCTATTATATTTGTGGCAAAATGGGCCCCAGAACCCTATCCCATTATTGAGGCCCCTACATCAAACCCTAAACCATCCTAAACCCTTCAAGCTCTGACCTTAGATGCACTCAGGGTCTGCACGGGCTCTCGGCTCAAGGGCGCGCGGCGCGCCGAGGAGGCGGACCAAGCGAGTTCGCACCGGCGCAGCAAAGGGGGGGGAGTGTAAAACGGTAAACATCTGTGTTAGGGTTTAAGGCAAGTTTTGTTGGTAGACTCCCCTGGTCTTCAGATGCCCTAGGCCGAGTAATCCTGATTAGTGCACATGCGATGTTCAACTTCGTCCAGCAGCGCTGCACCTATCGATGACAGAAAGAGCACCCAACTAATCCGAAACCTTTACCGAACGCCCCTATGCCGCCAACTCCTAAACCACTATAATCTGAAAGCTTCAAACCAACATCGGAAGACCCAAGCCAGACCCTAAGTTTAAAGCTCCTAGCACAGAGTCTGCACGCTGCGGTGGCATTGCAGCTCCCGCCACCGGGCCGGCAACTAGCTCGGCCCTCACTGAAAGCGGGCACTCAGGAGTTGATGGGTTAGAGTTCAGGGCTTAGGGTGTAGGGCTGAGTTTAGGGTTTAGGAAGGCTCTTCACGGTACTGCGATTGCTGTTGCTAGTGCTATTGCTTTTGCTATGGCTATTGCCATTGCCATTGCCATTGCCATTGCCATTGCCATTGCCATTGCCATTGCCATTGCCATTGCCATTGCCATTGCCATTGCCATTGCCATTGCCATTGCCATTGCCATTGCCATTGCACTTGCTGTTGCTACTGCTATTGTATTCCAGCTTACTGTTACTACTACTACTACTACTACTACTACTACTACTACTACTACTCTTATATCTGGCTTCTGTTGGGCCTGGCCCAGGTGCTGGCAGCTTGCCTCTCAACCCTAAACCCTAAGCCCTAAACCCGATTATAATCCTTATCCTTGTACGATTTGGGCACATGGACCGACAATGGCACGCCGGAGGGCATGTTCTCAGACCCAAGGTGTGCACTTTGTCTTCTCAGTCTCTTCGGAGATGGGAAGAGCTTCTGACAAGTCTTCACATGGGGCCTGTAGCTGAGCTCACATGTCTAAACCCCAAGGTTCAGGGTCTACGGTTTGCAATTCTAAGCCCTAACCTCGAAGCTCCTGAGCTAAATCCTACACCTCTTCGGTTCAGGGTTCAAGGTTGTGTCAGGCTTTAAACAGGGTTCAGGGTTTGGAATACAGAACCCTCCAGGGGGACCAGGGTTTAGGGTTCAGGGAGTTTGGGGTTTGGGGTTTTACGGTTTAGGATTGATCATCGGGTTTAGGGTTTGAGCTTAGCCCCTCTCGGCTACACTCGAAGCCCAAAACATCCCAAAACCCTAGAGATCGCCCCCCATCCTGTGCCTGAAATCCCTAGACCCTAAACCCTAAGCCCTAGACCCTAAACCCTAGTCCCTAAACCCAAGACCCTAAACCTAAACCCTAGACCCTGAACCCTAAACCCTAGACCCTCAGCCTGAAACCTTGGAAACATGAGCCCAAAGCCACTTGGAGCCGGGAAGGTCCTCTCCGGGGAAAGTGAGAGCGACTGCCCTTGCTTGGCGAAGGCCTGCTGCAAGCTTCGGCGCGCAAAGGTGGTTTTAGGGTTTCGAGGTTTCGGGGGTGAAGGTTCTTCGGGCATTTAGGGAACTCTGCTGTCTGTATTGCATTTGTGTTGTGGACTTCGGACACCTTAGTACGCATGTCTTAACCTTTCAGGGCTCTTTGGTAGTCCCGTCAGTCTCGGAGGTCCGATGCCTAGTTGGGCTACTTGCGGTTCCGAGTTCTTTAGGGCTTTAGGGCTTTGGGGCTTTAGGGTTTCGGGTTTGGGGTTTAGGGAGTTCTTAGAAGCTACATTACCTACCACCAACGCTGCTTTCATCGCAGAGGCACTCTGGCAATCTCTGGGGTTTCGCTTGTTCAGTCTGTCCGTTCTGTTTGTTGGCTGGAAAGGGGACATTCTTCGCTGCGGCTTGAGTGCTGTAATGTAGGGGCCTGGATAATTATCTATACTACTATACTTTTTGGGGGGGTTCCTTGTTATAATCATTGTATATAATCTACCCCAGAAAACAATTCTAGTCATTAAGGCCCCTACCTTACTCGAAGCCATGGAGCAGAGGGGGCCGGAATCCAAAGCCCGAAGCTGTGGGAGGCTTGCACTCCGAACCCGACACCCAAAAACCCCAAAACCCTATTCTTTACCTAAGTACTCCCTTTACCGTTTCAAGTGCCACAAGACTTGAGACACTCCGTGCAGTCCTTCAGTTCGAGATGTCTCAAAGCCTGTCGTCTTTTCGGAGTTTTCGGAGTTTCGACACCCTAAACCCGCAAGTGCTATGCCCCGAACCCTGAACCCTAAGCCGAAATCGAAAACGCTGCTGACCTTTCTTTGACGTGAAAAGAAAGCAACGCAGCGGAACTGCTGACCCGAGCCCGGAGCGCGAACTTGAAAGCTCCAAGAGCTACTTGAGGTTCGCGGGTTTCAGAGCTAGAGACTTTGGCTCGGGGTTTAGGGTTTTGGGATTTTAGAGCTTCGGGGCCTTAGAGTAGGTTCCTACGTCAAACGAACCACACTCTACGTCCTCAATCCTTACCTCCGAAGCCTGGACTCGCCCCCTCATATTTCGCGAGTTCGGTGGCAAGTACATTATTATTCCGTGATGGTTGCTGCACGCGTGCACAATACTAGACTAGACCCTGAGTAGGCAGCACCACGATGCTTTTATACGTGCTCGGTCCACGGTTCTTGTTGTAGAAGCAGCAATCCCTCCCATGGTTTAGGCCCTGTTTGCAGCCGCAGGAATGGCGCAGACTCAAAACACGCTTGAGATCAAGGCCACGCGGGACTTCCGGCTCCTGGGGGGGTTGTCTGTTCGTGCTTGGTTTCAGGCCACCTTGTAGATTCAGGCCCCATGGCGGTGGTGACGATCAAGTTGCATGTTTGGGTATGCTGATGAAAAAAGTTTGATGATGGTGATGATGATGCTGAGAATGCAAATAGCGATGCCGATGACCAGCTCGTCGTTCGTAGGTTACCGCTTCCAGTACAGCCTGGAAACAGAACAGGGCCTCAGAGACATCCATCTCGACCTCGGCGCAGGAATCCTGCCCAATTTGTCCTAAACCCTGAGCCTTAAAACTATCCTTCAAGGTTTAACCACTCCAGCATATTTCTGGGGTCCACCTACCCTTCAAGACCTCAAATCAAGACACATCTCTATCTTTGAACCCTAGACCCTAAACTCTAAACCCTAAGCCCTTAACTGCCAAAGCATATCCTCTTTGGCCAGGGCGACATTGCGCATAGGCTCGAGGCCAACGGTGCAACTTGGCCTTGATCTTGCTATGATTATCCATGAGTACTATGATGACTATCACTACGGCTATATGGCTAATGTCAGACTTCTCATTACTATTGTGATTGAAGCCTTAAACCCTAAGTCCTTGAACCTGAAACGCAACACCTTAAGCTCTAAACCCCAAATCCTTGTTTAAACCACCCTAAGTCCCACGGACAGCTGCAGAGAGCTGTCGAAAAAGAGCCCGTTCAACAGACACAAAGCCTAAGTCCTAAGCGCTCAACCTTAAATCCTAAACCATAAAACGCGCGAAAACGGTCGAGACTTCCCGAGGCCTTGGATCAGATTCGGGCACAGATGCGGGCACGGGCCTGAGCAGCATCTTCCAGAAAAGTAGTGAGAGCCGGCCGTCGTCATTACAAGTATGGTTTTGAGGCAATTATATTGATCATTCTGCAGGAGTGTGGGGGTCTGTGGCTTTCGGGTGCCAAACGGCCTCTTACCGCTGCCTCCGCCTCTCAAGAAGTCCATCCCAGGCAAACTTCTACTGCGCCTTGCTGGGTGAACAGGACAAAGCCTAAACCCTTGCAGGGTTGTATCGAAATCATTCTTTCCGGGTCTGTGGCGGCATGAGGTTAAGGGCTGCAGGATCATCAGGTAGTAGCCCAAACCCTCCTCCACTATAGCCTATACCCGAACTCATTCCAGTCTGAATGGGACTTGCGTGGGTAAGGCATACGGCATATGGTGCTTGAAACGACGGACTCGGAGATCTTGCAGCTTAGGATCTGTGAGTGACTCCCCCATATTCTACATGCTCAAATGCCGTACGGATTGTGTGGACGGACTATCAGAAAACAGGAGTGCCGTGACGGCTGTAGGCTGTAGGTGCTTCCCGAGCAACCCTAAACCCTAAACCCTCGTCCCCCTGCCAACCCCAACTGAATCCGAGCTGCTGCAAAAGATGCCGAATTATTTCATCTTTCATCAGTAGCCTCACGCAACCCTGTAGGTTTTCAAGCCACCAAAACTCCCGGCTGTTTTTGGGAGGACGAGACGAATACCCCGGTCGAGCAAGAAGAGGAAGCACCCGAGGTGCTTGCGATACTTGCAGGGTTTAGGGTTCAGGGTTTGTAGGGTCAGCCCTAGACTCTAGACTCTAATGACCTGAATTATGCGATAACCATTTCCAGGAAATAAAGACGGATACCCTATATACACACACACACACATATATATATATATATGCATATGCACATACTTATACGTCATACGTATGTATGATGTGTATATATATATATACACGGATATTGCAGCACATTCTTGTGTATAGCATGTAACATATATATATACATATAGACATGTAAGATATAACTTCACGGCGACAGGCAGCATCATATTTGGCCATTGAGAGCTTTGCAAGAGGCCGGGCCGCAGCAACCCGACACAGCAAAGCACACCTGAACTCCGAGTTTGCTGCTTTGTTGCATATCGTTATTTCTATACATACATATATGTATATATATATATATATATATCTAGAGAGAGAGTCTATGGTTGTTGTTGTACATGTTTATGTAGTTTTATGCATGTTTTTTGTTCGCAGCACGGGACGGTGCAACTTAGACCATAGGTCATACGTGTTTATTTGCAGACTTAGGTCCTTTGTTATAATGAAGGTTCAGCCTAGAGTTTGTGTGCTTGGCACCCTGTGATCTGTCGTGTCCATACATACATATACCCACATGAACGTACATCCTGATAAATTATCCAAACCAATTGGATGACGGTAACCACAACCAAAACAGCGCACTCCCACAGCGACCCGGACTCCTTGTAGGAACCACTCCGGATATATGTGTATGTACACACATATATGTATATATATATATACACATATCTCTCTCTACATACATATGTATATATATATATATGTACTTATGTATATGTAGCTAGTATAAACTACAACCACCCCCCACCGCAACGCAAGTTCTTTGCACAGGTTAAGGGTTTGGGGAGGAGTTTAGGGTTTAGTGTAGTCTTTCATGCAACTTCGCCGAAGGCTCCGCAGAGCATGATGTCCCTTGCCCGGGCCCAACTCTTGTGCCGCTACTGTCTGCCACTAGTACTACTACCACTATTACCACTTCTACCACTACCACCACAACAACAACAGCAACAACAACAACAACAACTACTACTACTACTAAAACTACTACTACTACTACTACTACTACTACTACTGCTACTACTACTGCTGCTACTGCTACTGCTACCACCACTACTACTAC